ATTTTATTGCATAATAGTTATGTATATATAAGACAAATAGAGATCGTAGGCGAACTTACAAGGGACTGTGTAAGATACCAAGATAGAAGCCCTCCCGAAGTTGAATGAGGTAAAAAAAAATGTATTAAGAATATTAACAATGTATGATTAACTTATTTACTAATTTTCCAAAGATAAACAAACTTAAATAAAAAAATGTCCTAACATCCCTATGTAGATAGATATAWTACTTTCCTGACTCAAATACATTTTTATAAAAATAATGATACATATAACAGATCTAAATGGTTGTAAACGTTTATTTTTGTAGCAAACGTTAGAAAATACGTAATGAATGAGCAAATCGGATTACAACCACGAAGAAAATTGAAAATGATTTTTGGGTGAGCGTAAGCACAGACGTAATTAKTACAAATCAAGGGGGCGTCACACCACTATAGTATGTTTTTAATGGTCACATTTACAAATTTTAAATAACTATTATTTAATCTAAATATATATACAAATTATTAATGTTTGTTTTTATGAAGCTTATCGACTGGTAAGCTATACTGTACTAATGATACCAAATTTTACACATATCTTTCTTAAGAGGACGTAGCACCCGCATGTGTTGTCTCCGTCTTACACTCGTACGACATGGGAAATGTTCATTCGCTAGTTTCAATAGGGTATTGTCAGTTTTTATATTAGAGTGAATCCACCTATTAACAAACTTTTAGGTAGCAACATTATCTGTGTTCTCTCATTGGTTTTTTACGATAATTTAATTTTCAAGTGAGTTTGGGTATGTAAATTATGAATATTTTAAAATGTCCATAAATCACTTAAAAATTAAAATATCGTAAAAAATCAACGAGAGAACACAGATAATGTTGCTATAGGTACCTAAAAGTTTAATACTAGGGGGATTCACTCTAATATCAAAACTGACAATACACTATTGAAACTAGCAAACGATAATTTGCTAGGTCGTACGTGTGTAAGACGGAGACAACACATGAGGGTTAGACGTCTTCTTAAGACTCGCCGAGTACTTACAGCTCAGTTTTTCAATCCCTATAGTTCGATTTTGGCTTACAAATACTGTTCGTTTTTGCWCATGATAATAAAATATTTTTTGTTAGTATAAAGCGTGCCATTGGTTAACGAAAAATTCGTAGATTATTGACTCATAAAGTCATAAGTCACAAACTACTAGACCAAAATTGAAAAGAAAACTTCAGACATTGTTCTTAGATAATATATTAATACAATTTAGAATTAGATTGAATAATGTTTGAAAAATACCAAGTACTATATCCAATCCTATACAAGTTAATTGCCTATATTGTTCGAATTAATTCATAAATAATAAGGTACACAAATTCCAATGYGCTCGTGACATGAGGTACGCTATAACACTGGAAACATCGATCTATATCATAAAACGCTATCGTTGTACAAGTGTACAACATGTATTGATATGGGTTCATTTATTTCAGGACAAAGTTAGATTAAAGGTACAGCTAGTTATTATAATATAAATATTAAATAGTTATACATATAATATAACTCAATAATTATCTAAGTTTTATTATGATTTAAGCAAATCATCAGAAATACATTTTACTAGACTAAGCAATTTTTTATTTATATCTAATATCATCCATTTATTAATCGTGTTGCTTATGTTTAMAGTTTACATAATGTGTACTGATGACTTCTGATTGAAAATATTAATCAATAATCATTTATCATCTTTATCGAACTTATTTTATTTAATTAATCATACTATTAAATTAAATAAATGTTTCTCGCACAAAATTTACATAAGCAATGAAAAGGAAATAAAAATATGATTATCGAGAGGTGAASATCTCGAATACTTGAAGACATGCATAAAAGTAACCTAAAAACAATGAAATACGTATTACGTCTAGAAACTTACTTGGCGAAAGGTTCACTGTCCAGCCGGTAATAGTTCTCGATTGGTTCCGTCTTAATCAGCCGCATTAACTGTTTCTCGTCAACTACGACCACTCCTTGTTCGACATCCGCGTGCTTCCACAGCACCGTCTGCTTACTACTGCTCTTGGTCTTGTTGGCCTCTGCTTTTCGTTGCACAACACCCTTGGCCGCGGCCCGGCCGCCCTTTTGGCCTGACGCGTTCATACGGCTACTRATCGCCCCGCTGCCCGCCGTCGGGTATATCAACATAGTTTGCGTATATGTGTGAACACCGGCTCGGTACTCGGGGTAGGTTGGTTAAAATTTAATTCGATAAAAAGTCGTAAAACGCTAATGAAAACTAAAAAAAAAAACTAAAAAAATAATAATACGATCCAACGGGTCTCGAAAACAACACCGCTAGCAAGTGGGGAACGTCCTGGAGACCACGGACGTGTGTTTGCTTGTTTGTTCGGCAGCCGAATGAAAATTCTCAGACGGTCGAGAGGAAAACAAAAAACCGCTCGCGAACTATAATAATAATATATTACGCGTATGCTCGGACGAACGCGACTGCGAAAACGTCCGAATTCGACGTATACGTATTGGCGGCCTATGAAATCACAATATTAAGTGACAAACGCGCAAACTTGCAGATTCACCGGACTTCGTAATACCTACGATGACGATAGAAACAATCATGTAAACAATACTTGCAATGGTATGTGACCACCAGCAACGGCATATCCTCGCCGGAAGACGTCGACTACAGTTGGCCGCGTACGCAAACAAACTGCCGCGGTTAAGTCCCGGCGGCGTTGATCGAGCGATCTATAGGAGCGCGCGCGCGCTGAGGCTGCGGYGGCCGTCGGACGACCCGCTCGCGCACGTGGTGGGAGAACCGACCTGAATATACGGCGTGGTGGAGACGTCCGTGCGGGAGCTTTGATGTCGACGACGTCGTCACCGCGGCAATATTATAACGATCATAATATTTTGTGCCCATCATATTATTATATTTTTAATATTATTTTTGAGTACGTAATTTAATATTGGTACTCAATCAATAATTATAATAACGACCACGGCTTGATTATTTTATATTATAATATTATATTATATTCTCTATATGTATATTGGTAGACAGCTTTTGGAATGTGTCCGTGGGCCATAGCTGGCACACACACACACATCAGTATATAGAACGTTGAAACTGCTTTACATCAAGGTATACGAGTGAATTTTCAACGGAGGTCGGTTTTCTGTATTTCCAATGACACGAAATATCGAATTAACCCGGCGCTACATATCAGTAGGTATAATAGTAATATATATATTAGCTACTTGTATTCTACGGGTACCTACCTAYCTGCAATCTATAGTGTCTACCATATTTTGTCGTAAAGTTAAACTATATAGTAATAATATTATAATGGCAATCGGCATAATTTTATTATAGCAACGCGTGAGTTAAAACGGATAGAGACTATACACTATAGAATGTATTGAAGTCGAATCAGAATCATACAGAAATAATCGATATGGGTTTCTAGATCCACRATGGTAGTATAAATACATAAAAATGTGTTCATTGTCAGCTATATATTCTATATTACAATATAAATTTCAGACAAAAAAAAAAAATAATCTAAAACCGATGTGTCTACCCACTTTAGCACTTCCAATACGACAGTGCCTACGCCCTACGTGAATAACGTTCAATCTTTTTTTGCTCATTGATACTTTGGATTTATTAGAGAACATAGATGGTATACTATGGCGTATTATTTTAACTCTTAAGTATTCTGAAGTTTACATAATTTATARATTAGGTATAGTCGAAAAATATTCGTTTTTCGTTATTATCATAAAAACATAATATCTCTTAATCCATAATTAATAAAACAATTGTATATTATGCTCTATTCGATTCATCTTGATTGATTCTATAGAGTTAGATTAATTTTATTACATATTTACATCAAACGTATGATAC